AGTAATTCAAAGTTAAAAAGAGCAGTCCGGGGAAATCACCTATAAAAAATCATGGTTTTTTGTAAAATTTATTCCATCCTGTCGGTAAGATACCTACCCCATCGTAGTCTAGAAGTAACAACGTTCTAAAAGAGGCAGTAGTAGCCAGCGCATACCTCTAAAACTGTCTTCTTACAAATGACACTTGGTCCAATTCTCCTATTCAACTATTTCCTTCGGAAGAAGCACACAGCTTCTTTCTCTCTTCCCTCACCCTGTTTGTTCTCTCTTTCTTCTGCATATCCATCTTGCAAAGTAGTCGCATGACTATTCGACACATGGCAGACAGGATGCTGTACTGATGATTCTCGCCCCTATTCGCATGCAAAGAGTTCGGTCAGTTTTTACAGCTAAGGGATGAAATAGAAGGCTGTACTGATGATTTGCTCCTATCCGCATGCAAAGTTTGGCCTGTGTTTACAGTTAAAGGATGAAACACAGGCTGCATCCTACAGTGTCTTCCTACACATGACACTAATTCTATCAAAAGAAACAGAGATCTAATAAATCTATCTGGGAGATAAAACGAATGTTAGGATCGCTTGCGGAATGATCATCAGGCGATGCAATATTGTCAAAATACAACTGGAAAAGTTAATATCAGCATATCAGAATTAATAACCAATCAAAGCATATTATAAATATTCAGCTTCACTTCTTTCCAGGTTTATCAAACATTTTGCACGACTGCTATTCCATTATTGCGTTTCTTCTCGGAACATCTCCGTCCTGCTCAATTTTATATTCGCCACAACCGCCTCACACTTCATTTAAGCGTAAAGCTAGATCTTCCCATCTCTCTGTGTTCAGCGTTGTGTAGGTACCATTCATTAATCCTTTTTGTCCATCTCATATCTCTAGCTACTCCAACTCCTTTTTCGTTACAAACACGACTTTGCATAAAGTTGTCACATTTTACAAACTTCTATTTTGGTACTACCACCGTTTCATCGTTGCGTTTCTTCTCTTCACTGATGCAGCCAGCAACTTCTCCATTCTTCTCTGTTTTGCGTATCTCTCATCCACATAATTTCAATTTAACCGTCCAGTCGGGTTCTTCCACTTCATCGGCTACTTTCCTTATCTTCTTATAACACTTCTTGAGTACTATTCAGTAATCCGCATTGTCCATCTGTTGTCTCTCATTTTTACCGCATTACCAGAACAACTCCTCTTCCTGGCGTACACAGCTACGCACACATCGGACCGGGACGTAGTATTTCATTGAAAATGTGCTGTAACTTGCTGACACCTGCCATGCGTCGTTCCTTAGGTCGCCTAACTGTTTTCGGTAAAATAAGAACAATTTTTGCGAGCACAGGACAAAGAAAAGAGTATTTTTTCATCAAAACATAAATTTGGAGTAGGATGTACAATGAAGAGGCCAAATCCAACACAAGAACAGTGCACAGCGATTCCTCTCAGAGAAGATAATACAGTGCGTTGATAAGGCAGCAGCAACAGACAGGACAGCAGGGATTGAGGCGATAACGTAAGCTGATAGCAACTGATAAGAAGATTGCTCAGGGGGAGCATTAGTAACTATTAGAAGCATCAGTTTTTTAGTGAGGGCTGGCTAGAACTGGATCACATTCACAGGCGGATCCAGGATGGCCTCCTGGGGCGGAGGAACTGGGAGGAGGAGGGGGGGAGGGAGGAGG